TTCCCTCGGTCTAGTGCACTGAAGTTAAATAAGTTATAGTGAACCCCAGACTGGACATCTGCTTTCTGATGTGGAATCGGACGTACATAGTAATTTCATTGAGCAATGCATGAGAACTAGGGCACACGCGGAGACGGGTATGAGCGCGGCTCTCATTGGCGGAACGACAATTTCATTCCGAATAACGAGTATTGATTGGACAGCGGAGATGCGGGCATTTATTCGCACACCTTGCTAGCGCGGTGACTCTCAGATGTCGATTCGGAGTGTCTATTGGTCCCACATGCTATGCAGTGTTCACAGATTTTTTTAAAACAGCGATTTGACACAAAGTAAAAGTGTTCCATGGATTTTCAGTGTGAGGTGATGAAGGGTTTGCCATGGTTTCAGTAGCATCATGCTTGCTCCTTATGCATTTCCTGGGGTTCGGAGTCAAACGAGGTAAGCTTCAATAAAATCCTCACCCCCCATCAAGGAACAATAACGATCGGGTTTTAAACTGTTCGGTTGATTGTCATAACATTCGAGCGTTTGAAATATTTTAGCATTGAATTGTAAAGTCGTTGAACTTTTGACATTAAAAGAAAAAAGATCGGACTTATGTGATATTAACTTGGCTACTGCGATCATGTTATCTCAATACCTGTTAGCTTTAATTTCGCTAACAATCATTGCTTCACCTCTAATACAAAGTGGTAATAAATTTATTATTCACAACTTAATTCTGTTGAAAAAGGTTTTAAAGTGAAAATCTACATCCACTTATTGCTAATTAGTTAACAATAACTTGAGAATTGCATTATGACATGAAAAATTTATGGAGTCAATCTTTCACTTCAATGAAATTTTCATTGATTTTGAATTGACTGCTCTGTGTAGATTAGAAGAAAAGTACAAAGTTTGGTAGGTCAATACTTTACTTAGACAAACAGTTTACTGCTCCAACTGATATCTATTATTATCATTGAACAGGCTGAGATGTTTGTTTTCTCAAATGGATTTTAGGTTAAAACATTTTTCCTGAGATAATCAGTTTTTCCTAAAAAAAAAAATCAGTTAAATAACAAGAAAAAGTGTGGAAAGATATAAATATGATCAGTAAAGATTTATTTGCTTTTCAAACTCATTTGGAATAGAAGAGAGTGCAATATTCCTTTTGTGATATTGTACACCTGAGAACGACTGACTGGATACAGTTCTGTTGTGCAACATAGTATATGCAGTGCATTTGATTTATGTTGTACTGCCAGGGCATAAATGCATTTGAGAAGCCAGATGACAGTAAGATAGACACAGAGCATTTAGTAGTGGAGCATTAAAAAATGTCAGCTCTGTAGCAAGTATATTCACAGGGGAAACATTTAACAAATAAATGAATTAATAATTATACATTTGTAATAATTCTGAGCTTCAGAATATTGTGTTATGATATTGAATTATTTAGGGGTAAAAAGTCAAAATATACGATTGTCTGAAAGACAAGAATTTAGTCAATCGTTAACTGAGCTTTTAACAATTTGTATAGAATTTATATTGATGTCTGAGCTAGAGAATAATACTTCTCTCAAAAAGGTGTTGAAATACAGTCTAGTTTGTAACAGGTGTACTGGATTAAACTTGTGATTTAGAATTATCACAGAAATTCACAAACTGTCAAAAAAGTCAGCTCTAACAAACTGCCAGTTTCATACTGACAACAATATATGTAGTCTACACTTGAGTGTCTTCATTATTCCTTCAGTTTAAGACATCATTTCTACCTCACCATTAGAAATTGCCCCTCACTAAGCCCAGGTACTAAAACACTTTGTATGTCCCTCCTATCTTGACATGTCCAAGTGATATAAGTTTCAAATTTTGACAAATCTTCATGTGCTAACATTATTTTGCCCACAGACAATGACCGATTGCAACTGTGACCATTAAGGTATTTATATATAGTGGGTCTCTTTTCGGTACCTGTATTATTCCATCCTGGACTCATTCTTGGAACAACACCATATAAATACCATGAACAATTACAAAAATTAAAAGCATTCTTTGAGACCAGTCAGGTCAAAGACTGCTTTACTACAGCGCTTTTTAAACACTTTTTGTTCTCTTTTTTGCTTGCATGGATACACTGTCCAACCGAAAATTCTACTTTAGGATATTAGGATATAAGGAAGAAATTTCTGCATAGGACAGAGACAAACAAGCTATAAAGTGTATTACTCTGGACATACATTCCTAGTAAGTTTTGATTTAATTCTTAGAGAAGAAGAAATGAAGAAGATGTTAAATTGGAACAGGAAAGATGTTGGTGAGGTATTGCAAACCTCACATCACAAGTTTGCTTATTTAAACCTGACAAAGAGTTGTACATATTCCCATGGGTGGAGTAAGTGGGAAACACCTATAAAAAATGAATGATAAGTGGTACAGATCAAAATTAGTGTTATGCAGGTAATTGATCAACATTAGATCTTGGAGTCATTTGCAATCAATTATGAATCATCATTACCTTTTGTGTTTCTTGGATATGATGGTACCTTGCTCAGAAGATTACATCACCAGATGACCTTGACACACGGTCCTCCAGCATCAGGGAACATGAATGAATTTTTTTCCTAGTAGGATGGGAAGGCTGCAAACTTTTAATTAATTAAAAAGTTTCTGGGTTAGCCGTATGGCCTACTGACCTGTTATGAGATAACTCAGGCAGTGTTCGATTTAATTTTCTTGTTTCTTTCATTCTCTACATTTACTTCAGTTTACATCATTCATAGTCAATTGTGTGTCATAAAAAATGAGGGAAATTGTGTGTAATTGCAAGAAAACCAAGAAAGAGAAAAGCAATTGATGTCTTTTTCATTATCATGTGGAAGTTACAAAAATTCTTGCTGTTTCAGTGGTCATGCAATTAAGTTTATAGGAATAATTTGGTAATGAAAATAACAATGTTATACAGTTGTTAGTTGTGTATAGTTAATTTGATAACTCTGATATGTTTCTCGTTCTGGTGGTGTGGGCCATTAGAGGGCTCTTCAAGCACGGTTCTGCCATTGTTTTGTTCATTATCGGTGTAGCCATCTTTTGCCATTTGTCTGTCATCAATGAGAAATCTTCTTCTAGTTTCATGGCTGTCAGCAGCAATTTTTAAAACATATTTTCTGTTTCAATGCTGTCAAAGTAATGATTCTACCTTACTCTATCTATATTTTATATTGCAGTCCTCTTATTGAATGAGGTTACCATGAATAAGGTGACTAAATTTAACCTCTATTTATACAGTCATGTATATTCTTTCAGTTAAGATGCTTATTAGTAAAAGTGGAGAATTCAGGGAAGAATTGAGATTCAATAACAATAATTTATAAACATCTAGGGGAAAGTCTAAATCTTGAAACTTAGTTAGGAGTCTTAATTATTGTCATCCTCATGATGTCAAGGTCATGTGTGTGGTCAGTTTTGAAATCACAAAACCTTGACCTTATTGTGGATGAATTATTGTGAGTGGTAGAAATGATTTATTTATATGGAATACATTTAGAAAGCAGTATATGGTTCCACAAAAAACTAATCAAATATGGAAGCATTTTATGACATATGAGGCCAGTGAAAACTAGACTGTAGATCTGTTTGAAATTGCAATTTGACTACTGGTATTTTGAAAAACATGACTATTTCACTTATATCATTGATAAATTAAGTGAGGATTGTTGGCCGTTTATGAAAATAATCTCTGAGACAGGTTGTTCTGTATCACTGGTGTTTGGTACTGATGGATCAGATATCTTATAACTTAATTTTCCTCCCATCATACATTGCTCTGGGATAGGTTATTGAAAAGTTTATTGGATTGTTGATAGCCGGGGTGGTGATTGATCGGATTTTGCAATCAAATGTGTAGGATTAATGTGAAAAGCCTGCTATTTCAAAAGAAGTCTTCCCTTGCTGGGATTAATCCCAAATTTAATGTGGATTAGTCCATCCCAGCCAATAGGAAACTCATTTATATTAATTGACAAAATGTCTCTTACAAATCTTCCTTATTATGTAAAAAAAAATTAAATTCTACAAAATTTCTGAACATTGGAATTTAGATGAAGTGATATTGGAAACATAAAAACCATCTTTCACTTGGCATAAGTGAAATCTCTTCATATAAAGGAGGGTCAAATTCTCCGAAAGATAATGTATGTCACAGATTTATTCAAAGGGAAGAAGGAAAACTCTATAATTATGGCAATATTGCTTTCTATATCAGAAGCTCTGTTTTGCTTCGGTGCAAATATTGACAATTGCATTAAAGTGATACTGTTCGTCAATATCAGTAAAAGGGACCATTGTGCTCCATAATGATGAAGCTGAGCGCTATCTGAAGAGGCTTAAAGACCCCGATTCTGGCTCTGTGTGATATGGGTAGGTGATTAAGCACAGACTTAGACATTAGCAGTTGGTCCAAATCAAATTTTAATACAACCATCTTAATCACACTCTGGATGCAATGAAGCATTTTTAAATTAATTACACAAATACATTTGCTGTAGCTGACCAGGTTTCGTGTCTAAATCCTTGTTAATCCCTCGGCGTTTTATTGAGTGATTTGGGTGATACGAAGATTGATTTTTGTCCTGTTGCAGCAGGGTGACATTAGGTGTACAAAAGCATACTGCACTCGAACTTGCCATGGAAAAGTCATCCAAATATGGAACACAGAACAAGATCCCTGTATAACTGTACAAAGACCAAAACTCTGTTGTTTCAGAGAAAATGTTCATCTGGGTACAATTCAAAGCCAAAACAAGATCATTATCACTCCACAACCACCAGAATTATGCTAATAGAATAATGCTTATTTGCATGTAATTCAAAAGTTTTCAGTAAAGTCCTTTCTAATGTTCTTTTGACATTCATGTGGGAAAAGGGCACATTCGCTGGAATTTATATATCTAGGAAAAGTTCACATCACTGTGTTTTGAATATTTGAAAAGAGATTGATTTCAAAAAGATACTAGAGCAAAGCTCGATCACTATACTTTGAGTAATTCCTAACATTGTGAAGCTATCCTGAATTGTTTTATTCTTTATAAAAAACACATATACGTATTTATCCTGCAACTACCCCTTGCAATGACCTAATAAAGGTAACCTAATAAACCAAAGCTTTATCCGGTCACTGCCCTAATAAAGCCTCGTGCATGTATTCCGACGTTCTAAAAGCATTGTGACGTCACGTATACTGCAATGTTTACGCCATGGCATCATAGTTTCAACTGCAGAGTTGTGCCTAAATCTGTCGGAAATAGCTTGTTTTGGACGTTCAAATGTAAAATTTTGTTGCAGGATAAACAAAATACATGATAACTGTCTTGAAATATAAGCGATATTTGGGCTCGGGTCGAAAACGTAAGAGGGCTCGGCAAGCCTCGCCCTCTATCACGTTTTCTTACCCTTGG